CCCCACGTCGGCCCCGCCCACCTCAAACCAGGCCCCGCCCACAACAGAGGCCACGCCCCTCTCCACAGCTCCTCCTGTACTCGACCCCGCTCCCTTACCTAGGAGACCGGCCTCCTCTTAGGCCCCGCCCCATCCCAAACAAAGCCACGCCCATCACTCAGGCCACGCCCCTCTCCACAGCCCCGCAGCACCTTGGCCCGGCTCCCTTATCTAGGAGGCCGGTCTCCTCTTAGGCCCCGCCCCTCTTCCCCGAGCCAACGCGCCTTGGCCCCGCCCCCTTACCGAGGCGGTGCCCAGCCTGGCGACCGACACTTCCCAGAAACTGGATCAGAGTGCGGATGGCAGCGGGGGCGGGGCTCGCGGGCGCGCGCGGGCCGGGCAGCTGGTCCAGCAGGTGGTCTGCGAGCTCGACGAAGAGGTCGTTACTGCAGGCGGCCGCCAGGTGGCCGAGCGCCCCGACAGCTCGCTTGCGCACCGCCAGGCGTGGGCTGCTCAGCTGGGGCAGCAGACAGTGCAGGAGGCTAGGGTGGAAGGCGCCCAGCGGGGCCCCAAGCCTGGGGGAACCGGAGTGGGCGTCGGGCCAGGCCCACCAGGCGAGCTGCCTGGGCCAGGCACAGCCCCCTCCCCACCCTTTCCTGGTCTCTCCCCCCGACAACAGAAAGAAAAAGAGAAGGGCGCCCTGCAACTGTGCGGAGTGATTATTCGATTGCTGTTAGCAAAAGAAAAAGGACAGGACTGGTACAGGCTCTGGGCGTGAGGAGAGGGCCCAGTGGTGACGCTGGGTGGGCATGGAGATTGCAGCGGGACTGGCTCGATTTCCTGGGAGTCCGGGGCTTTCCTCAATACCACCACTGCCACCCATCTGCCTCGGTCCATCCTCCTTGCTGAGACCAGACTGATCTAAAACCTGTTTTTGACCTGGTCACCCCTCTGCTTAACTCCTTCCATGGCTCCCCAGTGCCCTTGGGAGAAGCTGAGCTCTGGGTTGATGGCAAGAGGCCACCCCAGGGGACATCTCGGGATGTGATGGTGAGCAGCTTGGGCCCAGGACCTGCCCTCATGAATTCATGGTTGAGGGGTGCCTCCCAGGCCCAGCAAATTCAACCTTCCTCCCTACACATCTGCTCCTAAAATGCACACCCCCAGCCCTGCTGTCTGTCCCCTCAATTACTAAAGGTGACCTGTGGGTCCCCTCCCATCCACGCTCCACGCTGCAGGGAGATAGATCAGCATGAAACGTACACTAGTGGCTCCCTGGGGCCCCTGCCCAGCCCCCCAGCCTCACCCCTCCACACCCGCCTCCCCACATTACAGCATAGCCCCTGGACCACCTCGCATAAGCCCCAGAACCCCGAATCTCTTGCCTCTATCCTCTGGGCCGGGGATGGTCTGGCCTCCCCCTCCAGCATCCTCCTTATGAAGACCCAGAGCCGGCTAAGCCCTGCCCCTCCTTGAAGGCTCCGCTCTAGCAAGACCCTGTCTGAGAAGTCGCCCCACTCCTTGCAGGGTTAGGGGGGCTCCTCTGCGCTCCGACAGCCCCTGCTTTCATCCTTACTATATTTACTGCATTTGGATTTACGTGTCTTCGAACTCTTCCCCAGAGTGCCCACGACTAATTCACTCTATACTCCCAGCACCGACCATTTTCTGGACACAGAGTTGGGGCTCGAGTCACGGGAGGTTTTTCTGACGGTGTGGCCTGGGGCGGGGCTACAGCCCCTCTCAGACCCTGTACAATCCTGGCAATCGCGTCCTTCTTTCCAACTGCTGGGATGATTTAGGCGCCCCCAGCACGGGCTTGGTGTGCAGTGGGTGCTGGCCCCTGGGTCTGAGCCCCTCCCTGTGTCCCTTGACCCCCTCTGTAACTGCCCTGTGGTGAGGCGAGGGGCTGTCGCACCTGCTCAGCATGTCGGACACGATGTCCAGAGCTTCCAGCTGCACGCCCACGTCCTCCTGCTGGGCGATGGCGCTGGTGAGCTGGCCCGTGATCTTCCGGCACACGTTGGTGGCCAGCCCGGAGCCTGCACGGGGCACGAGGCCGGCAGTTCAAGTCCCGGATCTGGGCTGGAGGAAGAGCAGCCTCACCTCTGGCCGCCTCTGTGCTTCCTGTGTTCCTGAACCCACATCCCTGGGAACCCTGCCGATCTAGGGAAGCTGGGACTCCAGTTTGACCCAGAGTCCAACCAAACCCAAGGGATAAACAGCCAGAAAACGGAAGAACCGACGGCCAAGCTGCCGGCCAGTTCAGCCCCACCCAACCCCTTCTCCCTTGGCCGCTTCCACTAGGGTGACAGGAAAAGCCAAACACTTCCCTTCCCAGACTCCTTTGCTGCTAGCAGCGGCTGGGTTGACCTGGTTCTGGCCAGTGAGATATACAAAGATGTCTTCTGGGGGCTTCTGGGAAAATGTGACCCTGCCAGTATTGAGGTGCTATACGTGAATGGCTGTAAAAATGCTCCCCCAGGACTCACATGTAGGGCAAACAGTGCCCTAAGCTGCCGTTGGTTAGATTTCATTACCTGCAGCTCAAAGCATGCCTAATGGACACGGAGCCATAAACCGAAATTGGTCAGGCTGAGAGAGCATTCTGTGCCCCAGGGTTAAATCATAAGCTGGTACCTGTAGTAACAGGGCTGCCCTGAGGACCAGGGTACCTGTAGCGGCTGGGGGGAGCTCCAGGAGGACGGTCTTGAGGCCGATGCCGGCGATGTCTCGGAGCTGCTCCTTGTCTGACCGCATGTTGGCACAGAGGGTGTCCACGATGGTCTCCACTTGGAACTCCTTCACTTTGCCCACCAGTGGGCCCAGGCTGTGCAGGGAGAGAGAAGGGTGGTTCGATAGCCCAAGCTCAGCCTGAGTCCGGCTGCCCCCTTATGTCTGCACCTGCTCCTGAAACCATGTGAAAAAGGCCCTGGTGGGACCAGCAGGTGGCGTGATGGTTATGTCACTGGACTCCCACATAGCTGACCACGTTTCGAGTCCCGGACCCAGCGGCTTAAAACTCATGCCAGGCGCGTGTGCATGCGTGCCCAAGATCTTGAGAGGAGAATGGAGGAGAAGGGATTGTGGTGTGGCCAACCTCCTGCGGGGTGATTTCTCGTTTTCTATCTCTCAGTCTCTCTGGCAAGTGCATGTGCCCTATAGTGAAAATCTCTCTGGAAAAAAAAAAAAAAAAGAAGGAGTTGGTGGTTAAGGGCACTGGACTTCCACATGGCTGACAGCGGTTCAAATCTTGGACTAGGAGGCTTGCTTTCTCATTTGTCCTCTCTCTCTCTCTCTGTCCCTCTCTGGTCAAATTAAAATAAATGAAGTTAAATAAAATAATTCTTAAAAAAAGAAAAGGAAAAAGGCCCTGGTTAGGGGCCAGCAGATGATGTAGTGATTAAGGTGCTGGATTCCCACTTGGTCCAATACAGTTCAAGTCCCGGATCTGGTGGCTTGAAAATCACGCTGGGCGAGTGTGTACGCATGCCTAAAGTCCTGAGAGGAGAGTGGAGAAGGGATTGTGATGTGGCCATCCCTGCAGGGGGTGATTTCTCACTTTCCCTTTCACCGTGTTTCTCTCTCTTTCTCTCTCGTCTCTGGCAAGCTCACGTCCCCTAGGGCAAAAACCTAAAAAACAAAACAAAACAAAACAAGGCAATTCTCCTGTGTCATCAGGTAAAACCTCCGCCCCACTCAAGCCATTCCCGATGTGTGTACCATCAAGTGCTGCATTTTCATCCTCCCGCCCCAGCCCTCTCTTCCTTCCCCTTTTAATCCCCCGCTCAGAGAGAGACAGAGACAAGTGTGAGCAAAAGCGAGAAATCACCCCCGGGGGAGTGACCACACTCTAATCCCTTCTCCTCCATTCTCCTCCCGGGATCTTAGGCATGCACGCACATGTGCCTGGTGGGATTGTTCAAGCCATCAGGTCCGGGACTCGAACCGCAGTCCGCCCATGTGGGAGTCCAGCAATGTAACCGCTAGGCCATGTGCTGGCCCAGGTTCCTTTTACAGCAGACACGAAGCACCTTTCACATAGTGTTCCTGTACTCCAGGTTCTGCAAGGACGCAGCATGCAGCATCGCCAGCTGTAGGGAGACTGCACGTAGTTCTCCGGGGCGCTTCCCTAGGAGGTGGTCACCGCTTCGGAAATCTGACCACTCAAGGCAACCCCGCTTGTGAGACCCCGGGGCGGCCCCACTGGGTCCCACAGCTACTGTCCGGCCCTCGGAACCTTCGCACTGAAACACACAGGTGTGCTATAAATGGCACGGGACCAGCAGTTAGCATAATGGCTATGTCGCTGGACTCCCACGTAGTCAACCGCGGTTCGCGTCCTGGACCCGGTGGCTTAAAACTCACGCCGGGCGCGTGTGTGTGCGCGCCCAAGATCCCAAGAGGAGAATGGAGGAGAAAGGATTGCAGCGTGGCCATCCCTCCTCGGGGGTGATTTCTCACTTTCTGTTTCTCTGTCTTTGTCTGTCTTTCTGGTGAGCACACACACCCTACAGCAAAGGCCTCTTAAAGAAAAGAAAAATATGTGTCAGGAGGAGAAATAGAGAAGGGATTGTGGTGTGGTCATCTCCCCAAGGGGGTGGTTTCTCACCTTCCCTCTCACTGTCTCTCCCCAGCGAGTGCACTGCCCTGTGGCCACAATTTAAAAAAATAATAATAATAATATAAAGGGTACTCCCTGATTTAATCATTACGCATTGTGTTTATGTGTAAAAAATCATATGGTACCTCCACAAATAGGTACAATTATTAAACACAATTTTTTTCTAAGAATTATTTTTTTAACTTTATTTATTTATTTTAATTTGACCAGAGAGAGACAGAGAGAGAGAAAGTGAGAAAGCAAGCCACCAGGTCTGGGACTCGAACCCTGGTCGGCCATGTAGGAGTCTGGCACCCTTAACCACCATGCCACTTGCCAGCCCCTATTACATGTAATTTTAAGAGGCAGCACACAGGCCAAGCATGGCCTGGTGGTTAAGGTGAATGGATCCCACATAGCTCACTGCATAGTTCAAGTCCTGGACCCGATGACTCAAAAAAAAAAAAAAATAATAATCCTGAAAGGAGAAATAGAGGAAAAGGGATTGTGACATAACCATTTCCCATGGGGATGCTTTCTCACTTTCCTTCTCTCTCTTCCTCTCTGCTTTAGTGAGTGCACATGACTCTAGCAAACTTAAAAAATTAAAGAGGGCTAGCCAGGGGACCAGCAGTTAGCGTAATGGCTATGTTGCTGGACTCCCACGTAGCTGACCGCGGTTCACGTCCCGGACCCGGTGGCTTAAACTCATGCCGGGCACGTGTGTGTGCGTGCCCAAGATCCCGAGAGGAGAGTGGAGAAGGGATTGCAGTGTGGCCATTCCCCCTGGGAGGTGATTTCTCGCTTTCTGTCTCTATGTCTCTCTCTGTCTGTCTGGTGAGCGCACGTGCCCTATAGCGAAAATCTCTCCAAAAAGAAAAAAAAAAAGAGGGCTAGCCAGATGGCGTGGTGATCAAGACGGCCGGACCCCAGTGGTAACTGTGCAGTTTGAGTCCCAGACCAGTGGCTTGAAAAACCACACCAGGTGCGTGTGTGTGCACGCCTAAAATCCTAAGAGGAAAATGAAGAAGGGATTTCTCTGGGGGGTGATTTCTCACTTTCCTTCTCTCCTCTCTCCAGCGAACACACATACCCTATAGCACGTAAAAAATGAAAAGGGGGCCTTGGCTCTACTAGCGGGACGCCACAGTTCCACCCTGTGTTCACTAAGCGTGCAGAGAGGAGTCCAGGCCGCACACCTGCTGGGGCCATGCTCCTGCACAAGCCCTGTAATAACCCTCCACTCCTGGCCACGCTGGAACTCACAGGCCGGCCCCAGAGCGCAGCTCACAGGGCGCGACTGGAGAGTGGGCCTGGGCCCCTGCTGCTTTCAAGGCCCCTGCTCACCACGCCGCGACAACAGGCACACACGCGTGCCCTGCACCCACCTGGCCTGCTTGTCCTGTTCTGGAGGTAACTGGCCATGGTCTTAAGCCCACGACCTTGTGCTGCCAGGGGTGGAGGCCCTTGTGACCCTAGGGTCCCCTATCAAGTACACCTAGACTTGGGTCCTCATCCTGGGGTCTGTTTCAGGGAAAACCCAGACAAGCCCTGTACAACTCACTGGAACACCACGGCCACGTGGCTATTTTTTTTTTTTTTTTGAGAGATTTTGCGATAGGGCACGTGTACTCACTGGAGAGAGAGACAGAGACAGAAAGTGAGAAATCACCCTCAGGGGGGATGGCCACATCGCAATCCATTCTCCATTCTCCTTGGGATTCGGGGCATGCACGCATACGCACCCAGTGTGAGCGTCAAGTCTCCAGGTCCAGGACGCGACCTGCAGTCAGCCCTGTGGGAGTCCAGGGCCTTCGGCCAGGTTCTGCACCTCGCCGTTCTTGTCCTCCAGGAGCTGGAGCAGCGTCCTCACCACCTTGCGCTCGCTGTCCTCGTCCAGCTGGATGGAGTCCTTCTGCAGCTCCGACATCAGGTCGCTGGTGGCCATGAACCTGGGTGGGGAGGCCAGGGAGGGTGGCGGCAGCTCAGGGCGCGGGGCCTTGGGTGGTATCTGAGATTCCCCCCAATAGACCCTGACACAGGACCCCAGGCCAAGCAGGCCATGTGGGTGGCGGGCACGGCTGCGACATCAACTGGCATATGTTGTGCCATGTTGGCACGGCCCCCAGAGTTCCCAGGCTGGAACTTGGTTGGATAAGGAAGGGATTAAGAGGAAACTTCCTTCTGGGTGGTCAGAAAAGTCATGATGTATTTTTCTGTGTTTTTTCTATGCAAAAATGGCACCATGACTTTTCAGAAGACCCAATCGTTCTTGCCTTTTTATTTATTTATTTATTTTGAGAGAGAGAGAGAGGTTTTTGCTATAGGGCACGTGCACTTGCCAGAGAGACAGAGACAGAGAGACAGAAAGCGAGAAATCATTCCTGGGGGGATGGACACGACGCAACCCCTTCTCCTCCATTCTCCTCTCGGGATCTTGGGCACGCATGCACACGCGCCCGGTGTGAGTTTAAGCCACCAGGTCCAGGACTCCAACCGTGGTCGACTACATGGGAGTCCAGCAATGTAACCATTCGCCATCTGCTGGTCCCAAGAACAACATTTCAAACAAGTTCCTGGATGGCATTGAGGGTCGGGGACCACATATTGAAAACCACTGCCCTGAGGTCCTACAGGTAGCATGGTAGTTAACACACTGAACTCCTGTGTGGTTGACTGCAGTTCAAGTCCCAGACCTGGTGGCTTGCTTTCTCACTTTCTCTCTCTCTCTTTCTGCTTCTCTCTGGTGACCACATCTGCCCTATAGCAAAAATTTACAAAGAATATAATAATGAATACAATTAAATAATTATTTTTAAAAAAAGGAAAGAAAAGAAAGCCACCGCCTATGCCATGCTAACAGGCCACAGACGTTGCTCAGAGGCCAGTGCCAATGGTCGACCGGTCCTGCCCATGGGCGCTGACCCGCGGTGGGCACCAGAGTTGAGGACTCCATCTCCAAGTGGGGAGACCTGTGTGGCATGGTGCTAAAGCCTAACCTGGTGACAGGCATCTGGGACGGCAGTGGTGTCGGAGCCGGAAGCCGCGGAGAGGGGGGCTGCAGGGCGTTACTGAGCACAACTCCGGCCCCTTTAAGAGAGAGGCACAGAGGCCTTATGGGCAGCCAGCAGCCCTGTCGAGCTCACAAATGTGAATGTTCTAAACGTTACTTATTGGGCCAGGAGTTGGCGGGGAGGCTAGGGCACTGGATCCCACATGGCTGACTGTGCACTTTGAATCTCAGACCCAGCGGTTTGACTATCACGCCGGGTGCATGTGTGTGCATGCCCCAAATCCCAAGACGAACCTAGAGTAGAAGGGTTTGGGGTAGTCGATCCCTCTCGGGGGTGATTTCTCACTTTCCTTCTCTCTCTCTTTCTTTGAGAGTGCCTACATCGTACCACAAAACCTACAAAAAAAATTATTTTTTTAACAAAAATGTAGGGTCCAGTAGGTGGCATAATGGTTAAGACACTGGACTCCACATGGCCGACCAAGGTTTGAGTCCCAGACCCAGGTATGTGTGCGTGCATGCCCAAAGTCCTGGGAGGAGAATGGAGAAGGGATTGTGGCGGGGCCATCTCCCCCCAGTGGGTGATTTCTCATTTTCCTCTCACTGTCTTTCTCCGCCTCTCTCCTCTCCAGCAAGCATATGTGCCTATGACAAAAACTTTTTAAAAAAAGTTTATTTTTTAAAGAATTATTTTATTTAACTTTATTTATTTATTTTAATTTGAACAGAGAAGGGGGAAGAAAGAGAGAGAGAGAGAGAGCGAGCAAGCAAGCCTTCAGGTCCAGGCCTTGAACCGTGGTCAGCCATGTGGGAGTCTAGCGCCCTTAACCACCACGCCACCTGCCGGCCCCTAAAATTTATTTGTTTTATTCACAATAGTGCTACACATCAGATAGAGAGAGACACGCCCTCCACACAGTCTTGTCACATCGCGATCCCCTTTCCCCAGCACTCCAGCTCATCGGGACCTCAGGCCCACACGTGGGTATCTGGTACGTTTCAGGTCAGCATGGCCAGGGAACCAAACCAGTGACAGCTGTGCAGCTTCCAGCGCTGCAGCTGAGCACGCCGCCTACTGCACTGCCACGCTGGGCCACGACTGTATCTTAGAAAACCTGAATTACTTATTGCCATCTGCCCCCCCGAGACAGCTGACATCACAACATTGACTTCCAGATCCTCCTGAAAACAGAATATTTGAGCACCACTGTGCCCACAATCCCTGGTGAGGATGCTGGGCTGGAGTTGGGTGGCAGCTGCTCAGCTCACCTGGTCCTCCCAGGCTCCTTCACCCCCATCTGGCTCCTGCAGCCACTGGAGTGTGGACAAAGCAGCGAGGAGAGCAGCGGCCCCAGAGAACGCCTTCAGCTTTTGCTGAAACTACCAGCTGCCTCCACCTCCTCCTCTGTCCTGCTTTCCGCAGTGCCTGAGCAAGTGAGCCCAGCCCTGCTCCAGGCCCCTGGGACAGGACGCATCTTGGCTGCGATTCGCCCCAGTCTGCCCAGGCTCAGACTTGCCATTCCACGTTATGGTGGTCCATGCTGCCCTGTCATGAGGCGTGCACCTGGGAGTGTCATGGCTGTTCTTTTTCCTGGGAGGAGAATGGGGGAGAGGGGATTGTGGCATGGCCATCCCCCTGGGGTGGTGATTTCTGTCTTTCCTTCTCAATGTCTCTGTCTCTCTCTCCCGTGAGTGTACGCGTCCTAAGACAAAAACCTCCTTTTTATTTTTTTAAAGAGAGGTTTGGGGACCAGCAGATGGCGTAATGGCTATGTCGCTAGACTCCCATGTAGCTGACTGCGGGTCGAGTCCCAGACCCAGCAGCTTAAACTCACACCAGGCGCATGTGCATATGTGCCCAAGATCCCAAAAGGGAAATGGAGGAGAAGGGATTGTGGCATGGCCATTCCCGCTAGTGGGTGATTTTCTCGCTGTCTCTCTCTGTCTTTCTGGTGAGCAAACCTCTCTCTCTCTCTCTCTCTCTCTCTCTCTCGCACGCGCGTGCGCGCGTGCTCCACCCCGGCTCCGGCCTCAGCGCCCCCTGACACCTGTTGCCCCTCAGTCCTTCCGTGACCCTAGTTCTGCGTGGACTCCCACCGTGGGAGCTGCAGCCCCTCCACGTGGACCCCAGCTCCGCCCTGCACCCTTATCTGCACCCCATTTATTTATTTCTTTGTTCTTTGGAGAGGTTTTTGCTATAGGGTGCATGCACTCACCAGACAGAACGAGATTTTGGATTCTGGATTTTGTTCTCTCTGGATTTCGGACATGCGCGCACACACGCCTGGTGCCAGCCACTGTGTCTGGGACTTGAACCAGGTCGACTATGTGGGAGTCCAGCAACATAAACATTACACCACCTGCTGGTCCCAAGACAAAACCTCTTTTTTTTAAAAAAAAAAAAAGGCTTCCTCTAGCCTGCTTGGGTCCCCATCTGTAGTCACCACCCCCCCCAGGAACCAGAGGACACTGTCTCAGTTTCAGTCCAGAGAAACCCTAGAGGCCACTCAGCTAAACCCTCAGCCACATGGGCGCCTGGACAGCTGGTCAGCAGGCCCCAGGCCCCCTGGCATTCGGGCTTTAAAAATAGACGCCATCCTCACATGCTTGGGGTGGTTTTAAGTGTTCTCGAGACGGCTGGCAGAGACAGGCTGAAAGGGCTTCTCGGGCACTAGCTGGCCGGGCCAGCTCTCCTGGAGAGACAGCGGTGTGAGTCCCCTTGGCCACCGGCTGCCCGTGTGCGACCTTGGGCAAGTCACTGCACCCCGCGAGATTCCGGAGGACAGGAAGAACGATGACCACCACGCGGGTGGGTGGGTGGACAGAGCAGAGCACGGCGGGGAGGCGGGACCAGCAGGCTGTCACAGAGCGCCCTGAATACCCAGCGCAGACTCTGGGTCACCTAAGGAAGTGAGCCGTCACCGGGTCCAGGAGCGCGGCGTACTCACGGCTCTAGTGACGTGGCAGAAACATGGTGGGGGTGTTGTGGGAGCTCAGGGCAGGTGCCTAACCCTGAGGAGGTCAAGGGGCACTCCAAAGAGGTGACCTCTGAGTGGGAGCTAGCAGGTGCAGGGCAGGGGCCAGAGGTTCCAGAGCTTCCAATAAGGTGCAGGGAGGGGGAGGGCATGGCAGCCGTCTGCGTGCACACGGTGGGGATGGCCTCCCCTTCCTCAGGGCCCCCTCATGCTGTGAGGTGTCTCCCACGGTGCTAAGTTAACCATTCTATCCTCATGGACGCTGGAGGCGGGCTCTACTACATCCTGGGTGCCCAGAAACGGAAGCCCCGGGCTCAGAGAGGTTAAGTAACTTCTCCTGGGTCACAAAGCCAGAAGTGGTGAGCCTAGATCTGAAGCCAAGACCCCAGGCTCTGTAAACTGGGGTGTGTGGAGCTCCTGAGGGGTGCCGAGGGGCAGGGAACAGCAGGGGTCAGAGCAGAAGGGCAGGTCTCCATCTTCCCTCCTGTCTGGCCGGTGGACTCTCCTCTGTATGAGATGACTGGATGTGGACGCCCAGTCCTCCACTCCCCAGCTCTGAGCTCCATTTCCCAACCGTGAGTTAACCATTCTATCCTCATGGACGCTGGAGGCGGGCTCTACTACATCCTGGGTGCCCAGAAACGGAAGCCCCGGACTCAGAGAGGGTAAGTAACCTCTCCTGGGTCACAAAGCCAGGAAGTGGTGAGCCTAGATCTGAAGCCAAGACCCCAGGCTCTGTAAACTGGGGTGTGTGGAGCTCCTGAGGGGTGCCGAGGGGCAGGGAACAGCAGGGGTCAGAGCAGAAGGGCAGGTCTCCATCTTCCCTCCTGTCTGGCCGGTGGACTCTCCTCTGTATGAGATGACTGGATGTGGACCCCCCAGTCCTCCACTCCCCAGCTCTGAGCTCCATTTCCCAACCGTGACAGAATGTCCCGAGAGTGGGTGTGGCCCTGTGGGTCTCTGAGGTCCAGAGATGGCCATGGGACCACGGGCCAATCCCTTCTCCCCCTTCCCTGGGACTCAGTTTCCCCTGAGGATGGGAGGTTGGACCCCATGTTTCCACCAGTTTCCAGCTACGCTCAGCTCTCCTGTGAGGCTGGGAGAGGGGACCACAGGCATGGGGGGCAGTACACAACTGGAGGGTGCCCCCCAAACCATCACCCCCCCAGCTCCCTGCTGCACTGTGCCTGAGCTGTCCCAGAGGAGCCCGGGACTGAGGGTACCCGTAAAAGGGTCACGGGGTTAGCAGGGGCAGGCCCTGTGGTCCCCTGAGGGTGGAAGCGAGCCCCGCGCATTCCCTGGGGGTGCAGATGAGGGTGCGGGGCGGAGCTGCGGTCCACGTGGAGGGGCTGCAGCTCCCACGGTGGGAGTCCATGCAGAACTGGGGTCACGGAAGGACCGAGGGGCAACAGGTGGCACAGGGCGCTGAGGCCAGAGCCGGGGTGGAGGGCAGGGCGGGGAGAAGGGGCTGCAGGGCTCGCTGGGCAGGTGTTGGGTGGAGACCCCGGGTGTCGGGGGGGCGGGGCGCACCTGAAGTCCTTGTCGCTGGACGTCATCTTCTCCAGGAGGCTGGCGATGTGGAAGGCGGCGGTGTTCATGGTGGCGGCGCGCCCCAGGCCACCCCCATGTCATGGAGACCCCAGGGAAGTCACAGGTTAGAATCAGAATGTTGGTGCTTAGAGATTACCTTGGTCTCTCATTCATTTTGCATGTGAGCAAAACACTGCTCTACATCCATATTAAATAAGATTCTCCACCACATTTATCCTTCCTTAACCCATTACTATCCTTTAAGTATATAGTAGACCATAATATCACAATAAAAATTCCAAATGCAGGGACTAGAAGATGGCATAATGGTTAGGTCACTGGACTCCCACATAGCGAACTACAGTTCAAGTACCAGGCTTAAAACTCATGCCAGGCACATGTGCATGCATGCCCAAAATCCTAAGAGGACAATGGAGGAAAAGGGACTGTGGCATGGCCATTCTCCCCTAGGAGATGATTTCTCACTTTCTGTCTCTCTGTCTCTCCAGCAAGTGCATATGCCATATGGCAAGAAATCTCTCAAAAAATAAAATCCATTTAAAATCCATTCAAGTATATTTTTAAGTTCTTTTCTAAGAATTTTCTTCCACTGTGACTTCTCTTTCAGAATCAGTTTTTCTTCTTCTTCTTCTTTTTTTTTTCAGAGAGGTTTTTGCTATAGGGCTTGTGCACTTGCCAGAAAGAGAGAGAGACAGAGAGACAGAAAGCGAGAAATCACCCCCACAGGGGAGATGGCCATGCCGCAATCCCTTCTCCTCCTTCCTCCTCTCGGGATCTTGGGCACGCACACGCATGCACCTGGTGTGTTTCAAGCTACGGTCCGGGACTCGAACCACAGTGAGCGATGCAAGAGTCCAGCTCCTTAACCACTATACCACTTACTGGCCCCTCCTCTTTTTTAAACAGCAGGTAGCGAGCCTTGGATACTTTCGTTCTCTTTCCTGTCTTCCCCTTGTGTGTATATAGCACTCACTCCAACCCAGTCATTTTCATGATCACATATTATCTTTTTTTTGAGAGATTTTTTTTGGTATAGGGCATGTGTGCTCCCCAGAGAGACACAGAGAGAGACAGAAAGCAAGAAATCACCCCCCAGGGGGGATGGCCCCCACACAGTCCCTTCTCCTCCATTCTCCTTTCAGGATTTTGGGCACATACACATGTACTCAGCATGAGTTTTTAAGCCACCGGGTCCGGGACTCGAACATGGTGGACCCCATGGGAGCTCAGTGACATAGCCGTTCCGCCACCTGCTGCTCCCTGCCACGTATTACCCACAGCACTCCATGGGGCAGGAATTCATAGTTACTCACCCACTCTGCTACAGATGGACATCGAGTTATTTCCAATATTGCGCAATTACGGTCACGATGCTGCGTGGTGACACTGCAGTCAGCCATGGACCACATACCCCATGGTGGGGCAATGGGCCATACCGCGGAGCCTTGGTGCGTAGTAGGCTAAACATGTAGGTTTGTGTGAAGTACACGCTTTACTGTTCACACAAGGACAGAATCACTTAACGACACACTGCTCGGAATGAGACCCCATCATTGTGAAGGATGACGATATAAACTGTGCTAACAACGCAGTGCCCGCAGATGGCATAGCAGTTATGTCACCGGACTCCCACACGGCCAGCCACGGTTCAAGTCCGGACCTGGTGGTTTGAAAATCACCACCTGTGCGTGCTTGCCTGAGGTCCCGGGAGGAGAATGGAGGAGGGGGTTTGGGGTGATTTCTCACTTTCTCTTTCGCTGTCTCTGCCCCTCCCCAGTGAACTCAAACGCCAAGGGCAAAACTTCTAGGGAACTAGCAGTTAGCGTAATGGCTCTGTCGCTGGACTCCCACATAGTCGACCGTGGTTTGTGTCCCGGACCCGGTGGCTTAAAACTCACGCCAGGTGCTTGTGCGTGCGTGCCCAAGATCCCGAGAGGAGAATGGAGGAGAAGGGATTGTGGTGTGACCATCCCCCCTGGGGGGTGATTTCTCACTTTCTGTCTCTCTGCCTCTCTCTGTCTGGCAAGTGCATGCGCCCTATAGCAAAAACCTCTCAAAAAAAAAAAAAAAATGCAATGAACTTTTCTTTTTTTCGGGATCTTGGGCACGCACGCACACGTGCCTGGCGTGAGTTTAAGCCACCGGGTCCGGGACTTGAACCGTGGTCAACTACATGGGAGTCCAGCGATGTAGCCATGACGCCAACTGCTGGTCCCACAGTGCAATGAAACTTATAAACCTGTATTTCCGTATATCTGAAGCCGTTGGGCTGTCAGAAAAGTCATGATGTATTTTTCTGTTTTCCTCGGCAAAAACGTATCATGTATCATGGCTTTTCTGACAACTCACTATTTCTTCAGAATACGTTCTGGGGTTGAGACGACTGAGTGGAAGGTAAGTACCTAGGTGGTTTTCTTAGGGATTGCTGAATTCTCTTCCAAAAGGGTTGTCTAGGTAAGCATTCCTACCCGCAGTGTAGGAAATGTCTATTTCTGCACAAGCTCACGAACAGAATGTGTCGTCATGAACTTAAATCTTGGCCGATCTTCAACTACAGTTTGAATCCTGGCCTGGTCCACCCAAAGCATGCCGGCATGTGACATGGGCCCAGGAGCTGATGAGCTGGAGGACGAGAGGAAGGTGATTACAGTGTATGGGACCAGCAGATGGCGTCATGGCTATGTCGCTGGACTTCCATGTAGCCGAGTACGGTTCAAATCTCGGACCCGGTGGATTAAACTCATGCCAGGCGCGTGTGCGTGCGTGCCCAAGATCCCAAGAGGAGAATGGAGGAGAAGGGATTGTGGCGTGGCCATCCCGCCTGGGGGTGATTTCTCCCTTTCTGTCTCTCTGTCTCTCTCTTTCTGCCGAGCGCACACGCCCTATAGCAAACACCTCTCCAACAAAGAAAAAAAATAAAAATAAAAAAAAACGAAGAAGTGATTACAGTGTGACCAGACCCATTTGGAGGGTACTTCTCTCTCACACACATAAACATGTACACTCTCCTTCATGAATAAAGAAAAAAAATTAGGGCGGGCCTCATAGCCTAAAGGTTAAAGAAACCAGATCTCAAATGACTGAGTGGCCCAACTCCCACCCCCAGGGGCTAGAAAAACACACCAAATCAGACAGAGAAATGGAGGAGAAATTGCTGCACACCCACACACCACTAGGGGGTGCATTCTCCCTGTCTGCTCTCTTGGCTTGTGAACACCTGTGCTCTCTGTCAGTTAAAAGTAAGAAAGAAGGAAAAAGAAAGAAAGAAAGAAAGAAATTCTGTTATAAAGTTGTTTTAGGGCCAGCAGATGATGTAGAGGTTAAGGCACTGGAACCCTGATTGCTAATTTCACAGTTTGAATCCCAGGTCTGGTGTCTTGAAAATTATACTGAGTGCGTGTGCGTGCGTGATCGAGGGGAGAATGGAGGAGAAGGGACTGTGGCATGGCCATCCCCCCTGGGAGTGATTTTTCCCCTTCCCTTTCTCTGTCTCTCTCTGGCAAGTGCACACGCACTGTGTGTGTGTGTGTGTGTGTGTGTGAATTCCAAGTGTACGTGTATACTCGCTCCAAATCTTGATGGGATGGAAAAATGGAGGAAACAGGATTGCAACGTGATTCCACCCCATTGGGAAGTTCTTGCTGTCTTTCTCTCTCCCTCTCTGACAAACATATGCGCCTCTGGCATTAAAAAGAAGGAGGGGGGCCAGCAGGTTACATGGAGGTTAAGGTGCTGGACTCCCACATAGCTGACTACGGTTAGAGTTCCAAACCTGGTGGCTTGAAAAACGTGCTGAGGGCATGCGTGCCCAAAGTCCTGCGAGGAGAATGGAGGAGAAGGGATCGCAGAATGGCCATGCCCCCCAGTGCGGCGGGGGGGGAGCGGTGATTTCTCACTTTCCCCCTCTCTCTGTCTCTCTCTGTTGAGTGCATGCACTGTATGGCAAAATTTTAAAAAAATAAATAATTTTTTAGAAAAGGAAAGAAGGAAGGAAGGGAGGAAGGCATGCCTGTTCGGCCCACCTCTTAGGGTCCTGTGAATTAAACAAGAGAATGACTGTTCAGCACTTTATTTATTTTTTTAAAGAATGATTTTATTTAACTTTCCTTATTTATTTATTCATTTGTTTATTTCAATTTGACTGGAGAGGGACAGAATGAGAGTGAGTGAGAGAGAGAGAGAGAAAGTGAGAAAGCAGGCCGCCAGGTCTGAAACCGTGGTTGACCATGTGAGAATCCAGCGCCTTTAACTACTACGCCACCTGCTGGCCCCTGTTCAGCACTTTCGAAGAGTGGCCTATGGACTGGGAGAAAATATTTGCAAACCACTGATAAAGAATTATTATCTGGCATAGATAACAACTCTTAGGGCCAGCTAGTAGCATGGTGTTAAGAGCAGCTGGATCTCACATTGCCGACTACATGGTTCGGGGCCCAGATCTGGCAGCTTGAGATACACTATGGGCACCTGTATGTCTGTGCCCAAAATCCCAGAAGGAAAGAGAGTTGGAGGAGAAAGGATTGCAGATACATGACCATGCCCATGGAGGGCGCTTTCTCCTCTCTCTCTCTCCCCTTCTCTCTCAATCTTTTTCTCTGGTGGTGCATGCACCCTCTGGCAAATTTTTTCAAAAGAAAGAAAGAACTCTTCGTTTTTAAAGTTTTGCCATAAGGCATGGGCACCAGCTGGAGAGAGACAGAGAGTGAGAAATCACTCTTAAAGGAGAGGGCCATGCTACAGTTCCTTCTCCTCCATTCTCCTCCTGGGATTTTGGGGCACGCACACACACACTCCCAGTGTGATTTTCAAGCTGCTGGGTCTGGGACTCGAACTGTGACTGACAACGTGGGAACCGAGTGTCTTAATCACCACGCCACCTACTGGCCTCAAGAGAAAGAACTTGTAACACTCAACCTTAGAAAGACAAACAATTCAGGGGATCAGCAGGTGGCATGGTGGTTAAGGTATTGGACACTCACATGTGGCTGACCACAGTTCGAGTCCCAGACCTGGTGGCTTGCTTTCTCACTTTTTCTCTCTCTCTTTCTCTTTGTGTGTATGT